TATATATATATATATATATATATATGTAAATATGTATGTTAACATATTAGTATATACATATATATAGTTTTATATGAGATATAACCCATTCCTACACTCAAATTAGATTTAGCCTTTTAGCTTAGCTCTTTCCTATTTATACATACATATACGTATATATACATATACGTACATATACATATATATGTATGCTTCCAAAGTATTACCCATATCGTCTATGTAATATCATTTCTGTTTGATAAAATGTGTTTTTATTTTTATAGCATGCCAAGTCTAAAAATAACAAAACAGTCGGAGTCATTCGCATTTGCCTCTGCCTCTCCCTCTGCCTCCGCCTCCGCCTCTGCTTCTTATCAATATCAAATATTATTGTGTTTCCCTACTGAAGAATCATTCTTCTTCTTCTTGTTATTGTGTTTTTGTAAATATATATACATAGTATATACATATATACATATATACGTATATAGTATATACATAAACTTCAATGGTTAAAAATAAGCTCGAGTTCAGCTTATCATCTGGAACCTACAAATTTAATTGCTGTTGTTGTTGTTTTTTTTTTTTTTTAATAAAAAAAAAAAAAAAAAAAAAGGGGGGGGGGGGGGGGGGGGGGGGGGAGAGCGAGCGAGTGCTAGGCAGATATTAGCATATGGAAGTTTTATATGACATATTTAAATATTATGTAGGGTATATACTATGTATATACTCCCATATTTCATAGGGCAGCCGACGAACCCAAGGTTATGCGTGTTTTGACTGTCAAAACTTGTTTACGCTAGATAATGCAAGCGGAATTTAGTTAGGATTCTAAGAATTCTGACATCCACGTGGCGGGCTCACAGTAGAGGGAGGGCTTAGAGCACAGCTCGAATTATACATGTAAAGTTTATATATGTATATACCAATATGAAGATATATACACATACATATATACATATGTCTATACACTTGGCTTGATTTCATGTAGCATACTTATTTGAAACACATTTTACAGTTGGACTTGACGATTCAGGTTTAATTTGTATTACATAAGATTTCGATGAGATAATTTCGAGGTAAACTCTATATGTTATATATGTACATACATATATCAAATATTAATTTCATATATTCCATAGAGGAATACCAAATTGCTTCACTTACTTTTGCATATCAATTTATGGCTGATCCTTGATGATATATCGGAAATATATATAAAGGTATATCAATTTATATACATATATATGGATAGATGTATATAAGTAATGCAGATACTTTTGTTGCGGTTATTGTTGTTGTTGTCTTTCTTTTTGGAGCTTTATCACTTTCTTAAGGAACTTTCTTTTTGTTATCGTTTCTTTTTGCCATCACACAGTTTCAAAAATCACAATTGTTTTTTTTTTTTTTTTTGTCACGAAAAAAATTAATTAAATAACAGTTACGCACATATATTTATATAGTTCTAGATATTAATTATAGATAGATGTATATAGGATCGCTTGGAGAATCACGCAAACACGAGCAAAAAAAAAGTTTCTTATTGAGATATAGGATGAAAAAAAAAAAAAAAAAATTTATAAACTTCAGTGGGAGTTGAGAGCCTGGCTAAGAGAGTCGGGCTAGTGTGTTCGGGCGTGTCTTTGGAGTACGATTCTTGTATAGCTCGCGCGCAGTTTGGCGATTTTGTTGCATTTCGTTCTTGTTGTTGTCCCCGTTGCAGTTGCTTTTGTTTTCGCTTTCGGCTCCAAGTATGAAGTTTCGGTGGGGTCCTGATACGCCGCGACCAATCGCCGACTGCTGCAGACTGTTTGAGTGCTTTTTGTTTCTTATTTTCTTTCGTTCTTTTTTTTTTTTTGCGTTGGAGCGCACGACCCAACGATGCGTCTGGCTTGGATTTGGAACGCGCTTTGATGAACAGGCTCGGCGTCTCGCTGATCGTTGATCAAGCGACTTGCACAGACAGACCAGACAGACACTCTCTCTCTCTCTCTCACTCTCACTCTATCTCACTCTCTCTCTCTCTCTCTCTCTCTCGCTTCCCCTCTCTTTTCCAATAACAAGCTGCGCTGAGCTGCTCTGTTGCTTCGGCTCGCTCTCTCTCCCTCACTCACACTCTCTGGCGGCGGCTGCCTCGGCCAGTCACACAGCAAAACGTAGTAACAGTTGTGTTCCTGCGTTGACTCCTGCTTTTACTGTAGTTCTTGTTGTTGTTATTGCTGCTGCTGCTGTTGTTGGGGGCTTTCGCTGACTAAGCTTTCGTGCTGTTGCCCTTGCAGCCCTCCCCGTTCTTTGATTCCTTTTGTTTGCTCGACGATCGGTATACGCCTCTACTCAAGCCATCGGCTGTTTGTGTGTGTGTGTCTTGCTATCGGTAATATCAAATAAACAATCAGCTGCTTGGCCCGCACACTTATTACGAAATTGTAACCTCTTGCACGCGCTCTCTATCTCTTTGCCTCTCTCTCTCTCTCACACTCACACTCACACTCACGCTCACTGCTCGGCTCTGCTCCTCCTTCTCTCTGAGCGGCAGTTTTTGGCACGCGCTCTCCCGTTTCGTTAAGTTAGCTGTGGTTTGCCTGTCAATGATTTGTGTGTTTGCCAGTGTTTGTGACTGTGGCTGTGACTGTGGCTGTGCCGCACAGCGTCAGTCAACGGGGCGAACCGATGTGAATTGTATTTTTAGCGACCAGTGTTCTATAATTAGACACAGACGTCCGACTCAGACTGCGGCTGTGACTGCGGCTGCGACTGCGGCTGTGACTGCTGTGCGTTTTGTTGTTATCTCATTTTCAACGAATCAACATACACGCATGCATACGCACACGCACACACATGTACAGAGGCTACTACTAGCACGCACACACACAGTTACATATGTACATACACTTACGCACACACACTTACACTCACTCAAGGCACTTGCAAGATTTATTTGTTCGCTTGCTTTGTCGTCTGATTGACTTTCCTTTGGCTTTTCCGTCTGCTTGTCTTTATTTATTTTCATCGTTTCCTGCGAACGAACCTTCATCAAGTGTTTCGCACCAAAGTCGATTGGTTTTTGATGGCGAGTGGAGTTTAGTTCCGCTTTTCAGTGTTGATCAACTTGTGCTATTTCTACGTTCCTTTTTTAGTACTTGCACTAATTGCACATTTCCAGTAACAGTTACATCTATAAACAGCGTCTGTTGTATGAATGTGTGTGTGTGTGTGTGTATGAATGTAATATTTTTTTGAGGCACTCGTTGCTCGTTGTTTCACAGCCGAATTTAAAAAGAATTCTTTTGTGTGCTGCAAGCGCCTCTTGAAACATCCATCGGATTGCTACCCGAACTGAGCAGAGCACCCGAGTAACGGTTTTGTCGATCTCTGCATTGATATTCATAAGCTCTACACATGCATTAATACATATACATATGTATATGTATGTACTATGTACGTGCATGTAGGTATGCATGCACGTCTGTATGTATGGCTACATAATTCGCATTACGCTGCCCTAACTGTGCTTTGCACTGTGCACGCACATTGGGCTTAAGACTGTCAAAAAAAACTCTACAAAAAGCTAAATAAATTTAATTGAAGCGTGGGGAATAGTTAATAGTATATTGTTATATAAAATACAAGTATTACATTGGGATGTATTTCATTTAAAAATTTATACAATGAAACAAATTTATTTTTTATTTAATATGCGTGTTTATTTATTATTATTTTATATTATTTTTATTTATTTTTTGCTTTGTGTCTCAAAATTTTCGTTTAGTATTATTTTTAATGCAAAGAAAGAAATATTCTTAAAATCCTCCCCCTAAAATGTATTGCTCATGAAAGCAAATATCGAGAGGTCACTGTATACACGACCAGCGTGAGTGTGAAAGTGCATGTGTGTGTGTGTGTGTGTGTGTGTGTTTGTGCTGTATTCAGCATTAATAACAATAACAATGACAATATTAATAATATTTGCTGTTGAACAAAGTACACACACGCACGCACTCATGCACACACACATACATACATACATAGATATATGTGTGTATGTATATTGCAAGTGCATTTTGTGTGAGTTATCGGCTTGGGTACACGACGAATAACAATGCAAACAAAAAGAACAACTATGTATGTATGTATGTATGTACATACATATGTATGTAGAGTGAATCCATCACAGTGACAGCAGCATCAACCTCTTCCACACTCTCGCTCTCTCCGTTTGCCACTCTCTCGCTAACGTTCGTACTATACCTCTCTCCACACTCTACATTGTTTGGGGTCGACAAGCAGCAACACTGTTTAACCTGTGCACTCTTATTGATATTGCTGCTGTTGTTGTTGCTGTTATTGCTGTTGCTGTTGTTGCTGTTCTGGGAATTCTAGTTGGGCAAACCAGTTGAGCCGAATGCCTTGCCGATTATCAGCTGTTAGGCGTTGCGGTCGGCGGGCGGGGAATGCAGCTACAGTAAGCGGTAAGTTGTGCTTGCAGAGATAATACTCAATTGGCACTGCTATCGAGCTAAAGCCCAATGTATATTTGATGTACATACATATGAATGTGTGTTTATGTGTGCATGCCTATTTATGTATTTATGTTATCAAGTAATTTTGAAGCAATTTAAAGTTAAATATTTGTTTTGGTGCCTATAATTGGCATAGAGGGCAGGCAGATAAGACTTGTTTATTATTTGTTTTAGTTATAATTGTCGTTGTTGCTGTTGTGCTTGTTGCTATTGTTGTTTTCTTCTTTTTAAAGCTGGGCTTTCCCAACAGGATTGCTTATATAACATTGAGCAAGATTTTCTTTTTTGTTTTTTTTTTTTGTTTTTTTTTTTTACTTTTACAATTTTTTCCTCTTTTATTTTGGTGCGTAGTACGCATTGGGTCCTTGGCTTGTTGTGGAGCATCTACTATTACGCACACAAATAAGTGTGTGTGTGTGTGTGTGCGAGCTCTGCTTTGATAACGGTAATGCTCTCCGATAAGGCATGTTGATGTTTTGGTTGCTTGAGCTGCTGTTGCTTTTGCTGTTGTTGTTTGTTGCAGCCAGCCGTATAAGAGCGGAAACCCGCGACAACAACAGCAGCAGCCGCAGCAGTCGCAGCAACAACAGCAACAACAGCAACAACAGGCGCAGCCTGCGAGCGTAACGGCAGTAAAAACGTAAACAACGCAACGTGAATTCAACGTGATCTAGTTTCCATTAAAAATAACAGCGCGCGCCCAATCGTAGACCTCCCTATTTTTAGCACAATCTATCCGAGAGACAAAGCGCTGCAGTGCGAGAGAGAAAGAGAGCGAGCGAGCGAGCGAGAGAGAGAGAGAGAGAGAGAGTGCGAGTGAGAGCGGGCGAAGGAGAAGGCGATCTATTCTCTGAGAAACATTGACAACTTGTTGTTGTTTGTTGCTGTTGTTGATAAGCAGAGGGTTGGGTCTCGTCGGCTGTCGGCTGTCGGCTGTCGGCGCTTGTCGTGTCTGGAGCGCGTCGGCTCTTGGGTGTTAGGTCTGGGGTCTTGGGTCTTGGGGTCTGGTGCTGTGTACGCAACGGGGTTCAAAGTCTGAGCGATGAGCAAGACTCGGCGAATTGACGGACTGACTGAATGGCAGCAGCGACTATTTCGACTGCAAACGCGGCTCAGCCTAGCTGGGGGAATTAAGGGATGGAAATTGGATAATCGGGTGAATCAGTTGAATCAACTAATAAAGGGAATTTGTCATTTGCTGAAGTTGCATATGGAATAATGCATTCGGTTCTAGGAAATTGCTTAACTCAAAATAATGGGAATTTCATGTTGCCTGCGGAAACATTGAATAAACAGGGGAACTTCTAAACGGAAAAATGCTTTGAATGTACATCAATTCAATTACATTAAATTGATTTATAAGACCATTCCAAAGAAGAAAAGCATACAAACTTCTGTATAGGACAGATTATTAAAAAATAATGGGAAATTATGTAAAATAGTGGGGAAATTTTGACAAGTATTTCTAAAAATAAAACTAAAAATAAAATTTCCTGGAACTTGAGGATAATAGCATAAGTTACAAATCGAGGAAAATCTTTTAGACACTGGGCTATTCTATAAGCCTTCAGCATATAGAATAATGGTAAATGATGATATTAATATGAGATATACAGAAAGTTAAGAGAAATCTAATGAGGAATAGGAAAAAAGTAATGGAATACATTCGAAATACAATGAATTTTTCCTACAGAATTCAGTTCTAGAATCAGAGAGTCTAGCGAGCCATAGGGACTGTCCAGTCTAATATTAAAAAATGTATCACAGACAGATATATATATATTGAAATATATATATAGACAGCAGTGAGACAAAGATAACAGAGAGAGAGGGAGTGAGAGAGAGAGAGAGATGAGAAGTTGGAGGTGGAGCTGATAAGATTTGTGGGCGGCTACCCCAGCTGGAGTATAGATGGAATTCGCATCTACTATTTGATGCTGTCGCCGCTGAGGAGATGACGGATCGGCCAGAGGCTGCCCAGCGGGGGCAATACGTCTATATTGTTTACTTGTGCTAAAATTGGATCTTCATTGATTGACATGAGCGACAAGTGGGCGCCAGTGCAACACGACGGCGACTCCGACGCAGATTATTGACCCAGAAGCGAAAAGCGGGTGCCTGGGATGCTGGCGGGCGGTGCGATACTCGAGCCTAGACGAGAGTCCATTCCCGACATGCTCGCAGCTACAATAAAAACAAATATCAATAATAATAACAACAACAATCACAACAAATGTAAACAAATAACAAAACATTATCAAATTAATTGAACTTTGCATTTTCGCTAAGCAATTCGATTGTTATTCAAAAGATGCATAGCAACAGTTCTTCAAACAGGATTACAGGGTATATACATATGTATGTCTGTGTGTATGTGTGTGTGAGTGTGTGTGTGGGTACATGCTTCGGATGGCCATTTGCAGTGTGTGTGTCGATTCCCAAAACGATCTCGATCTGCGAATCGATTATAACATAAAATGTAGTGCTACATAGATGACGGCTGTATTTTCATCTGTGCGATTCTCCACGTCGTCCATCATCTGCGCGAATACTTCGTACGGCATTCCGCCGTCGTACAATGTGATTACCACCGGCTCATTGGGGACGCCGGGCCCATTGGGGGCGACGGGCTCAGCGGGATCTTCATGCTCCACAGTGATCTCTATATTGAAGAGTGGGTAAATGTCCACACCTTCATCATACAGAACAACTGGTATCTCCGGCATAGTTCCAATTTCTTCACTTCTTCTTCTTCCACTCCTTCTTCTTCGTCTTCGTCTTCTTCAACTTCGTTTTCTTTTCCGCTATTAAACTCCGCTTTTGTCCAGTTAAATGGATTGAAATTCGCGAGTTTCGAAAATATAAAATGAAGCCGAAATTATACAAAAATTAGGAACAATTTTTCTCTAACTTTACTGTACGAGTTTGGTTTCGATTATGATTTGTGCGAGCCCTAACTGTCTTTAGTCTATAGGCCTAATGATTTCAATGTCTTTACCTACTAAGACAACTGTTTCTATTCGACTTTTTTCTTCTTCTTTCTATTCGACAAAGTTTTTGAAAGCGAAAAAGGCATGAGTGTACATACATACATACATATGTATATACATATGTATGTAGTTTTTCGAGTTGAAACGTTTGACCAATTTCAGTTGTTCTATCCTCCAAACTATGGTTAAACTTGGTCGTCGCTAGATGGCGCCTGGCCCAGATTAAAAATATTTACTGTGTATGTGAAGAGATTTTTAGTTAGTTTGCTTAATTGTGACTAGAAATTTATTTTCAACTTTTTATTCTGAGTATAGTTTGGGAGTTATTCATAGAAGACGCCTTTCTCTCTCTCTCTCTCTCTCACTCTGTCTGTAACTTGCTCGCTCCTTGCCTGGCTCCATCCCGCTCTTACTCTCTTCTAGCTTTCACGATCGCCCTTCTTCGCTCTCTCTCTCTCTCTCTGGGACTCTCTTTCTCTCTCTCTCTCTTACGTCTGGCTCTCCTTTCCACTCTCCTTTCTTCTCACCCTCTATTTCTCTCTTTCACTCACACTCTCTATGCTTGTACATCCAGAGTATCTGTTAGTGTTTCAATCCCGCCTAGAGCGAATTTCTTATTATTAAATTTTTAAAGCGTTGACAAAAATATCTGAAACAATGCGAAATTATCGCGTGAGTCAATAAACTGACGAACGACCGCTTGACCTGTGCCAAGAACAACAACAACAACAACAGCCGCAATGGGATTCGACCTTAAGCCACAGAAAATGCCGCCAACGAGCATAGACACACATTTGGCTGCTGCGAGACGAAAGAGAGAGAAAGAGAGAGAGAGAGATAGATAGATGAAGGGAAAGAGAGATAGAGGGAAGACTGAAGTTCATGGCCAGGATGCGTAAGCCATGTTAGGCAGCTGCCAATGAACTGCAAGAGCCATTGCACAGTGGCACAAAAGCGTCAATTGAATTTGCAGAATAAACTTTGAAAATATGCAACAATTTTATAGCTTATAAAGTTTCTAGCATGACAAAAAAATGATTATATTAGTCACATTTGTTCGTATAATTATTTATTTATTATTATTATTATTTTTTAATTCTGAGCAACAAATAATTTTATGAATATTATGTATGCACACATACACATACACATATACAATTTATGTAGTTTAATTTTATTTTTATTTAAATTTGGTTAACATCAAACAACTATTGAACAATTTCAGACAATTTTTTATAGTAAAAATTTCGATTTTTATATATCATAAACTAAGTTGTTAACGCTATAAACTTATTTTAAAACTTGTATCTATACAACATATACATACAGCAAAGTAACTACATTTACATAGATATGTATGTACATATGTGCCACTCTTGTACCACGGTGCACGCTTCCAAGGTCAACATGTTCCCCAAAGAAAAAAGAGCAACAGCACGAAGAAGAGGACGCAGAAGAAGCAGACAAACGAAATTGTGCCTAACGGAACAGAGCTACGCAGCGCACATGCAGTGCAAAAAAATATGCACACACACACCCACATCCACACACTCACACACACACACACAATATAATATATACATATATAATATATCGGTACTTGGCTGCCAGCACCTAACTGTGAATTAGGCATTTGAACTGCGAAAGGTTGTCGCCCCGTCTCCAAGCGCGACCTTGGCCAGAGTTGCCACGCAATTGGGGACAATGCACCAGCAGCCGAAAAAAAAGCGAAGAAAATTGAAACGTGAATAGAAATCATGTTAATAAAAGTAAGAGAATGGCCTGGCAGGGAGCCGCTCTCTATCTACGTGTGTGTGTGTGTGTGTCAGGCTGTGACCTTTGAACCTAATCTAGAGAGATTCAGTTGTTGCATGGCTCCATGAATTGGCGCTCTGCGTGTATGTGTGCGTGTGTGTGTGTGTGTGTGTGTGGAAATCAACATCTGTAATCGGCACACGGCAATCACTTGGGCAACGCGTGGAGCCAGTTGTAAACAAATAACAACTGCTTAATGTACATATGTATATACCTCTATATATATGTATATAGTATATATATACATACATATGTAGATCACCTATTAATATATATACATATTTAGATTAGGACTACAATAAACCGCAATTTTAATCAGAAGTATTAATCAATTAATCATTGACATTATAATAATATATGGAATAATGTTGGTGGACATGCGGCTGACCTTTGTACAATATATTAGCAGCACTTACAAATAGTTGCAATAATAATATCAATTAATTTTAATTAATTCGCTTGTTTATTGTTTAGCAAACGCATAGCCAAAGGCAATGGCAAGTTGTTGAAGAAGCAAAATCTGTGTGGCAGCACACTTTTCACAGCTAACCTCGCGTATAACGTACATTAAAGCTTAATTTAATCAATTTGTATATAGCTGTATATATATATACATATATACATATTTGTGCTCTAGTTGAATTAGCTTGATATTAGTGCAAAAGCTACTTTTTGAATTTGGCGCCTTTGAATGTTGATGCGCCATCTGTCGCATAGATTGTGTACTATCGACATGCTGCTGTTAACTTAACAGAATTGAACAGCTGGTGTGCTCAATTATCGATGTTATTGCTGTAATTCGATTTATTCATTTTCTACCGATAATTAACAAACAACAAGAAAAGCTCTGGACATATGTAAACAAACGTTGGCCACTAATATGCTTAACAAAAAACATGTAAGTCAGTAGCAACAACTACATATATTAAATAATGCACATGTTGTATTTATTTGTATAGATAATTACGAATACCATTGACTTGCGCATATTCCTCATACTTATTTCGTAAAGCCGCCTTATCAGCGACGTGCCGACTGAATGCACAAAATAAAAAAACCCACAAATGCCTCAAACAAAAGCAAAACGAATTAAATCAGCTAACAGCACTTAGTTTAATGTTAATTAAAATTGGCAGTCAGATTGACAAACTGCTTTAAATACATACATACATACACATTTATATGAATAGTGTAAATTCGTTAAAAGCAGAGGGAGAGAGATAGAGAGATGAATGAACCAGTAAATGTTCTATGACGAAGACAGTGAAAGATCATTAAGACAAACAGCTAAGCTTGCAGAAATCTACATTACGTTGACTAAGTTGTTAGAGTACTTGTAATTAATTGGTGATTGCATTTGATAATTAATTATTTGTTGCATTTGTCTTTTGTTTATTAGATACGCTAGGCTAAGTAGTTTACGCATAGCTTACAAATTGCTCGCTACAGTGAACGCTGACTAACGTTGATATGGCCAAATCACTTGAAGGCTAAACACCTGGCTGTTGTGGTTCTCACTTAATTGGCAATTGCTGCGGTCGCTGTGGTTGCTGTTGCTCCAAACCGGTAAATGCTGGGCTGTGGCGGGTAGGGTAGGGCGAAGGGGCGTATTAACCGCTTGTTGCCTGTGCAATGTGCTTGTTCTTATTGTTGTTGCTGTTGTTGTTGTTGTTGCGTGGAGAGCGGCGACAAGGTCGAAGCGTTTGCTTCGCCGCTTGTATGGGCTCCAATTTTGACCAAAACCAAATGTCTCATACACACGCACAGCTGTGTGTGTGTGTGTGTGTGTGTGTGCATGTACGGCGGCAGCACAATCAATACACATGTAAACGCTCGACGGCGTCGCGTCGCTTACTATCGAAGTCGCTATTTCTACATACTAAAAAAATTTGTATTTGTTTGTGCCGCATACTCGATTCGCAGCTCGCAGAGCACGGACGTGCCTGTTCTCCATAAAGCAAATAATCGTAATAGTAGTAATAAGAAAAGCCCGTAGATTCGTCCAGTGCGTGTGTTAAGGCGACGCAAGATTCTGTCCACGGGAGCGCGTTTACGTCTTTCGCTTTTGTTACCTGTTGCATCTGTCTGCTGTGCCGGGTTTGTTTTACACATTCTTTGCCATAAACGTTACAGTTTTTTTTCGCCTTTTTTTTTGTTCTTTTCTGTTTTGGTTTGTGAACGGAAAAAAGCCGAACGTCTGGCGAGAGAGTGAGTGAGAGAGCGTGCGCAAGTGCTCTAAGACGGCGTGAATGGGAGAGTGTGGGAGCGCGAGAGCAGGAGAGCGGGCGGCAATATGTCGTAATCGAAGAAAACAGTTACTGACACACTCTTTCTAGAGATGCGCCGCAATGAGCGAAGAGTGCATGCTCTACATGAACAGTTCATCAAGAGAGATATTTTTTAATTAAATTTTTTTTTTGTGATTTTGTTTGATGCACTTTTGATAATTTACTAAGTAAACAAATTTGAAAAAAAAAAAAATTAAAAAATTAAAAAAATAACTAATTTTACATTCTGTTCAATTTTTCTATTTCAGGTTACCAAACAGTTATCGCCTAGCGCATACGCTAAAGAAACCAATTCAATATTCATTGGCAACACATAGGTATGTACATATTATAGATTATCGAAGTTTTGATCAGATTCTTTACCGTTACTATTATCTTCTGTGTAGATTAAGGCATTTGAAGTGCTTGGAGAACACACCGAAATATTCGAATTATAAACAAATACACACAATGGGTTCCATGCTCTGTAAGGAATACAAAACTACTGGCAAAATTACGCCCAATCCGGATCACAATTCAGGTATTATCAGGCTGAAGAACGAATTTAAAGCAAACTAGCCGACAAAAGACAACTGCACGAATCCCTGAACTGATCAATTATAACTAGAGCTAGGCTTTGTTCCGTGGAAAGTTATGTGAGTCTGAGAATGAGAGAGCGGGAGAACGAAATGAGATATATGTGTTTATATTTGTAAATATCAACATACATATACATATATTCCGCAATGATCGATTATGTTTAGAGCTTTGCTCCATGAAAAGAAATGTGAAACTGCGAGCGAGAGCGCGAGAGGGAGAAGGAGAGAGAATGAGGGGGAAAGAGCGTTTGCTTCCTATTCCAGAAGTGTATCTACATATGTTTATGTATATATGTATGTCTATATATACATGTATGTATATATCAACATATATATCATAACTTTATCATTTCTATTTCTTTGTCTCTCTCTCTCTCGTCTCGTAATGAGTTTCGTTTACCTTTCTAATCGTCTCTAATTGCTCTTCGACACGCAATCAAATTTTCCATTTTCCAATCGGCAATTGTTTAATTATGAATCAATAGTAGTGAAAGAGCACCGGCTAGTCGGAAGAGAGAGAGAGAGAGAGTGTGAGAGAGCTCTGTTAAATAGTTCTGCTTGGCACCAGTCGTTCTTCATCTGCCCACTCAGCATAGATATCTCTCGGTTTACGCTGGAACGGCGGCAATTTTTGTTTATCTCGAATTTAAGCTTTCGAGTGGCTTTTTTTCTGTTTTTTTATAGACTTCATAACAATAACAGCAGCAACAAAAACAGCTGAAAAAGCCGTCAAACGGATTGTTGCTTGTGGGTAAACCAGGCTAAGACCAAGAAACAGAAACACATTTTGCATAGTTTTGTTTGGTTTTGTTTTGTTTTTATACATTTACTATTACAATTGTTTTGAGCATATGTATGACAAGGCCAAGACGTGTTTCTGTGTGTGTGTGTGTGTGTGTGATTTTACTCTGAATTCACGCTCTACTCATGTTAATTACACTAACTTATTACGATTTCTTGCTGAGCTCTGATTCATTAACTTGTTCTTTTCCCTTGCATTTCGGGTTTTTTTTTTCCTATTTTATTTTACTTTAAACTCATGACGTCATTTGGTTTGTTTTTCTTATGAATATACTCATAAAATGTATATAAAACAGGCATACAGTTTTTTTGCTTACTCATGCAACAGGTAAGCATGGTAGTACTAAAAACAGGTGCGCATCTGTTTAGATCGATTCGACTCATCAATATGTCTAAGAATGAGAATATATATAAATATATAGATATACTTTTAGCTATATCTCTGATATACCAATAGTAGTACCCCATTTTCCTCTAACCACAGTTAGGGCATCTGCTAGTCGAACCCAAACTCTCATGACGCACATTTGGAATTTTCGATTGAGTTGAATATTAAAAAAAAAAAAAAAAAACTGGAATTAATTAAAGGTTATTTTTACCTGCTCACAAACCCAAACTTACAGTTTTTCTTATCGATCAAAGTTCAATTTTGATGAGATATATCAATTTTTCAAGGCAGCTCTATAAAATATTACATACAAAGCTCAGGATCGATTAAAGTAATTGAAAGTAATCGGTAATTATGAATTTTAAATGTGCTGTAGGCACGCCTATAAACCTCTAAGGTCTATAGACCTTTTACTAGATGTTTTATATATGTATGTATAGGCACGCCAGCTGCTATTTATCACATAATTATTATAGCCCAATTGTCCTAGGTAGTCCCGTAGAAATAGTTTGGTTTAATTAGGTTTATTTTGTTGGCTTCAGCTCAAGAACTTTACAACTAGTTCTAGTTCTAGCTCCTTTAAAAATCCAAGATAGATAATCCAAGTTAGATAATTGTTACGATGAATTCGAGTGGGGATTTTTTTAGCTTTAAATCTTGAATGATAAATTTTGCTTTAGCTTGATTTTTTTCTGATATTTAGAGATTAATATAGCTTCGACGCTCGGACTTAAGCTCCAATTGAATTTAATTCTATCCACATATATATGTATATCGCCCAGCTATATCTTTATCCATATACATATTCAGATCTACCCAGATCTGTAGGTCAATCTCTGTTCATTATTCAGCTATACCCCTCTAATGCCTTTCCAATAACCATTTCAATTGCCTAGGCTATAAGTCATCGTCGCTTGCTTGTCACATTGTTAGCCGTCATCCAGTTTTGGGCTCCGCCCTATTGATTATTTGGCTCGACATGGAAATACATAGGCGTCTTTACATGCCAACATGACGCAGCGCATTTTTAACTTTGCTTTGCCCTTGAAGACATATCGATTTATCTGTGCTCATTGCAAAATCCATTATAAAAGACGGCCCAAAAAAAGTGAAAGCCCTTTCGATTTGCTTTACGGCGGATTCTATTATGCAAATAATCATCATTCCGATCAGCCTCGACAACTACATGCATACATACACATGTAGCAGTTCGGTTCACATGCGGCACGTCCAATTTTTTATCTAACACTGGTAATTGTTCAGTTCTTATCAGTAAACCCATGTCTGGCACTTGAAAAATTTGCAAATCATCTTGTTAATCAGCGAAGAAATCAAATTGAAATCATAAAACTCACTTCGTTTGATGGAGTTGAAAGTTTCAATAGCGTCCAGTCGAATCCTGTCGATCTATTGTTCTAACCGTTGTAGAGCCCATATATATTGTTGAATGAAAAGCTTTGCGATTAGGAACTTGTTCCGGTTCGCTGAAAACACTGTTGAATTTTCAATGAAAATATTATTTGAGTACATTTCTTCAATTTATCTCAATTTAGTTCAAGCTGAACTAGTTCCATAATTTAGTTCCAATTTTGTACCCCCCAACAAAAGTATTGTTCCATTTTTTCAGTTCTCTTTCAACATCTTCAGCGAACCTCTCAATATTTGTTCCCAAGTGGTTCAAAAACTGGTTCCAAATAGTCTAATGCAGCAATATAGAATAGAATATACTGTTTTCATAGATCTTTTAGTTCCAACTGGTATGAGCCGTCTTCTTGACTGTTTCCAAAACTAATGTCTGCTTAGTTCCTAGTTCTACATTCCCAGTTGTGGTTCCAACATTGTTCCGTGGATAGCTCTATAGAGAGCTTCTAGTTCACGTATACCAATAGTGGTATACCTATACGGTATAGGTTCTTAGCTAGTTCCGCCGTAGATTTGTAGTAGCACGGAACTAGTTCCACAGCTAGTTCCAACTTGTAAGTCAAAGTGGTTCCATAAGTGGTTCAAAATATAGTTTTATTGAGTGATGAAAAAAAAACGCATGCAGACAAAAAAAAAATTTCAACTTATAGCTATGGTAATGGTAATCTTATGTGATTCCAATTAGAACTTGTTGCTCCGCTTGACGGACACCAGCTCCATGCGCTTAATGGCATCGTCCAGGAATCGGCGCTGCAGCTTTAGCTCCGCGAGCAGCTCCTCCGCACTGTGCAGCTGCTGCTGATGCTTCTCCTGCTGCTGCTGCTTCTCCTGCTGCTGCTGCTTCTCCTGCTGCTGCTGCTTCTCCTGCTTCTCCTGCTGCTGCTTCTGCTGCTGCTGCTGCTGCTTCTGCTGCTGCTGCTGCTGCTTCTGCTTCTGCTGCTGCTGCTTCTCCTGCTGCTGCTGCTGCTTCTCGTGCTGCTTCTCCTGCTGCTTCTCCTGCTGCTGCTGCTTCTGCTGCTGCTCCTGCTTCTGCTTCTGCTGCTTCTCCTTGTTCGTTGACTCTGGCCATTGGCTGCCACGCAGCAAGCTGGCTGGGCTGGAGGAGTTCGCGCTGGCTGCATTGGGTCGCAGCATGGCCAGCACCCGCTTGATGAGCGAGGGCGTGGCGATGCCACTGCTGGGTCCAGACTCCGGCATGGCCATCAGCGGCGTAAAGAAGTACGAGCCAACTGGCGCTCGAGGCGTGCTGCTGGGCGTCACCTCGCGAGTTAGATCGTCTTTGGTGGTGGTGCTGCTGGTAGTGGTTCTACTGGTGGTTCTACTGGTGGTGCTGCTGCTCCTGCTGCTGTTGGCCTGCATGGCATCCAGTTGAAGTTTGAGCTCGTTCAGTTTGTGCTGCAGAAACTCAAAGTCGGCTGCCAGATTGAGCGCCAGCTGCTGTGCATCCTGCTGCTGGGCCTTGCCCTCCAGCTTGTCGATTTGCCGTTGTATGTCTAGCTGACGCTGCTGCAGCTCCTCCACCAGCAGCGGCATCTCCGGCGTATATGCGCCCATATACAGACGGGCAATCTCCGCCTGCAGCAGCTGCTTGTGTCCACGCAGCGTGCTCAGCTTTAGCTCCAGCTGCTGCTGCTGCTCCTGCTCCTGCTGCTGCTGCTGCTCCTGCTTGTCTCCTGCGGCAGCTGCGGCCAGCAGCAGCGACAGGCAGAGCAGCGTTGCATAGAGTTCTGAATGCAGTGACGACATATTAACAACTGACAGACACCTGTTCACCTGTTCACCTGCTCACCTGCTCACCTGTTCACCTGGGCGGCTGCTTTCTATGCCAGCCGAAGCAGCAGGCGACACTTTCTCTCTCGAATATTTAAGTTGATCTATAAAAATAAAATTACAAAAAAAAGACAAAAACAAAAACAAGAAGAAAACCCGCACAAAAAAAAGAAAAGCAATTGGGAAAACGGGAAAAAGTCATATTAAATGTTGTTGATTTCGTCAAACTCGTTAAGCCGTAACACTAAACCGTCGCCACGCCCTCGCCACGCCCTTGCCCACGCTGCCATTACAGAGAATACAAATTGATTGCTAATCTGTTTCACAGGTGCCGCCGGCTCCTATCAATCCAAGTGCGAGAAGATGTTCGCCGTCAGCGATGTGGAGAAAGAATCGGAGTACACCGAGGCGGTGGCCGTCTGCAAGGCCAGCGAGGTGGCCGAGAATAGCATGAAGCAGGTGGACTTTGATGAGGATACCAGCGTGCTGCTGGTGAAGCAGCGTGGCAAACTCCATGCCATTGGCTCCAAGTGCACCCATTATGGGGCACCGATGCACACCGGCGCACTGGGCATGGGGCGCATCCGTTGTCCGTGGCATGGCGCCTGCTTCAATCTGGAGACGGGCGACATTGAGGACTTTCCCGGCCTCGATTCGCTGCCCTGCTACAAGGTGAACGTCAGCGACGAGGGCCAGGTGATGGTGCGCATGAAGCGCACCGATCTGGAGAAGTCCAAGCGTCTGAAGAGCATGGCCAAGCGTAATCCCAAGGACGAACGCTGCTATATTGTTGTCGGCGGCGGGCCATCGGGTGCCGTTTGCGTGGAGACGCTGCGCCAGGAGGGCTTCACCGGCCGCCTGATCCTGGTGTGCCGCGAACCCTATTTGCCGTACGATCGCGTCAAGGTGTGCAAGGTGGTGGGCATACCCATCGCTAGCATACAGTTCCGTGATGAGCAGTTCTACAAGGATAACAACATCGAGGTGTGGCAGGGCGTCAGCGCCGAGAAGCTGGTCACCTCACAGAAGGAGCTTCACTGCTCCAATGGGTATGTGGTGAAGTATGATAAGATCTACATAGCCACCGGCGGTACGGCTGTAAAGCCGCCCATTCCTGGTGCCGACCTGGAGATGGTGAGGACGGTGCGCGACTTTCAGGATGCCCAGGACCTATTCAAGCTAGTAACGCCACAGATGCGAGTCGTCTGCCTTGGCGCCAGTTTCATATCGTTGGAGGTGGCCGCGGCGCTGGTCTCGAAGGTGGCCAGCGTTACGGTAGTCGGGCGCGACACCGTCCCATTGAAGGCGGCCTTCGGCGAGGAGATTGGCGCCCGTGTCTTGAAGCTGTTCCGGGACAACAATGTGACCATGCTGATGGAGAGCGGCATCACGAACATCATTGGCGACGAGGAGGGCGAGCTGATCGAGGTGGATCTGCTGGACGAGTCGACCATACCATGCGATCTACTAGTGATGGGCACCGGCTCCAGGCCGAACACCGAATTCCTGGTCGATTCCGGTGTGCGCGTCAATGAGAACGGCACCATCGATGTCACCGACTTTCTGGAGACGAACGTGCCCGATGTCTATGTGGGCGGCGATATTGCCAACGCCCACATCTATGGGCTGGCCCAGTCGCGCGTCAACATCGGACACTACCAGCTGGCCCAGTACCACGGCCGGATTGCGGCGATCAACATGTGCGGCAGCATCAAGAAAATGGAGGCGGTGCCCTTCTTCTTCACCCTGCTCTTCGGCAAGGGCATACGGTATGCGGGCTATGGCAGCTACAAGGAGGTCATCATCGATGGCAGCCTGGAGGACATGAAATTTGTTGCATACTATGTGAATCATGCGGACACCGTCACCGCCGTCGCCTCCTGCAATCGGGATCCCATCGTCGCCCAGTTCGCCGAGCTCATCTCACAGGGCAAGTGCCTGGGGCGCAATCAAATCGAAGACCCATCGAATCGCCAGGCCTGGACGGCCCAGCTGCTGCAGCCCGTGTCCAAGGTGCGCTAGACACCACCGAGATCATCGACCCCGATGCCAGCAACAAGAGATTCATGCTTATATCTATAGCTATATATATACATATACATATATTTATGTATAGGTGTGTATCCTAGTATTATTATGTGTGAACGGATTGACTCGTAACTGTTCTTCAAATACGCCCGCATATATATAAATATTTTGTAACCCCTGTATATATACATATTGATATTGATATCATCCAAAATTGTATCGTGACAAAATTGAAAAAATAGTATGTATGTATGTATAAAAAAATATATATATTTTTTTTATCACAGCCTTTCTTATTCTGATATTATAAGTAAAGAAACAATATTTGTATTGAACATAAACTTAAATAAAGGAAAGCTCAAATCTATGCTGACTATATATTATAATAATTTGTGGGCTCTTCTATCCATCGAGGTTTTTCTTTTCTTGTTTGGATCTAAATTTGTACTCTTTCACATAGTACGAGTATAGAGAGTATATTAGTTTTATACAATGTCTGTCCGCCGTTTCGTTTGTCTATCCGTTTCAAATCGGAATATACTATATATATATCTTGTATAACAGAAATCACTATACGTTAAGCTACTTTGTATTTGGAGCATATCCCGATTTTTCCGCTACACCTACTAGGGGCGTGGCGAATCTAAAGGTTAAGCTCGGAACTGATCCAAGATTTAACCATAAGATCCATGAGATATATCTATGTAAAGCTAAAACTACAGTTTGAAAAGTGAACGACTAATTTTGAGTGCCATCTATAGCTCTACGAACAAACTGCCCTATCCATGCTCACAATATCTGCCAAAGTTTGGAAGCACCAACTTCAAATCTATTTTGAACTATAAATTGGCCTTGATTTTAAGACTACTCACAAATCCAAAGTATTTTGAAAGTCGTTAAAAATTCAAAGTTTGAAACAAAATTTACTTTCAATGTTCGTAGCACAAAGAAAGATATAGTAATAAATTAATATATACATATATATGCATGGCCCTAATGCTGGTACCCATGGAGTGTATGATGCGTAACTGGCTGGAGGCGTGGCGATCCCTCAACAAGGATTGCGTCCAGGTAACCAAAACGGCGTCCAGATTGAAGAAGTTGGTAAGTGCAATCATCAAATCATCAGTTGGTGTTAATATTGAAATGAAACTGCTTCACAGATCATTTTAGCTGTCCAGCAAATAAATTGCTACGAACTGATATTGCTGGAGCGTAAGATTTTGAACAATAAATTTATCAAATGTATCTCGGATGCTGGCGAGATATCCAACAAGCGTCTGACTAGGAGCTGCAAACTGAGGAGCGAGCATCAGGCAATACTCGGCCAACTGGTTGGCCTTAAGCTACAGTTGTCCGAGCGGAATAATACTCTGGTCAAGTTCAAGTTGGAGTTGCATTTCTTGCGTCAACGGCTGCGACAGCAGACATTAAAAACGAATCAGATGTCGGCACGATTGAAACATGACAAATTACTAGCCGAAAAGCTTTTGCAACGGAACAGCAAATTGAACTCGCGGGTAAATATCAATTTATCGATATATCGATATCTATGTAAATTGTCCGTTTGCTTGCAATAGTCCCTGGAAATGTTGGAGGTCTACAGAATGCGGGCTCTTATGTTTGTTTTTAAACTAATTGGAATGGCTCAGGAGCTGATTGTTGCCAAAACCAAGTCAAAGGCCTATGAGGATGCCAGTGAGGACCTGAAATGGTAAGCAGAACAATTATGTATATATAACAATCCAACCACATGGATACTTTTATTTTAGTAAAAACAGACAGTTGCAATTGCGTCAGAGAATACTTATGAAGAAGTTTACAAAGCGTATGTCTCCAGATAAAAGTCATATAGATACGGTAAATGGAGCCCGTAATATTTTCGAAACGGGTCTTCATTATTTGAACTTTCTGTGGAATTGCATGTCGAGCCTGGCTCAGTGTCCTAAAATGCAGGGACCTGGTAGACGCTGTGAGTGGGCTCTTGTCTAAATATAAGCGACGTGCGTTCAATAAAAATTTGTTTACTAAAAATTATATTTGTAAGACTTCTGATCCAGATGAACAAAAATAAATATTTTAAATTCAAATTACCAGGGCTGCAGCAGCAACATAAAGTAAATATCGTTGAAAGCAACACTGTTGAAAGGCCGGCTTTAACAGTGTTGCTTGTTAACGATATTTCGATTTGCATTTATTTGCCGTATTTGTTGTTCTTTTTTCTGCGATTAATCGCCGACAATTTTTTTTTTGACACACCAATATCAGCCAGCACACACATACAAGCATGCATACACATACACATACGGTGTCGCACACAAACACACACACACATAAAAACGCCCAATAAATTACAGTTGCAGGCAGCGTACACATAAAAGTTTTATAACAAAAAGCAAAATAAATAACATACAAATATATAAACACGGGCATATGTATATATATAAATAAATATATATACATATAGAAGAAATTAGGGCCTATTAAAGCGTTTAAGTACAAGCAAACAAAAACATTCCAAAATAACAGAGTTACAACCTTGCTGCTGCTGCGCTCTTGCAGTGTAACCAAAGTGTAGAAAAATAAAACGAAAAAATAAATTAATAAAAATAAAAAAAAAAAATCGCCGCCGAAACACATTTATCAATAATGAATTTCTTGGGCTTTGGCCAATCAGCCGAAATTGAAATTGTTTTCGATGGAGCGGAGAACAGGAAGACTGCCGAGGTCAAAGGCGAGGATGGCAAGGTGGAAAAGATGTTGCTCTTCTACGATGGCGAAACCGTCTCCGGCAAGGTAAGCAGCACTAGTGACGGAGACATAGGGACAGGCGCAGGCGGAGGCGGAAGCAGATATTGCAGACTATACACGAGCGAGTCTTGATTGTGGGTGCAGGCAGAGCGACCGTTGTAGGCTGTAGGCGGTAGGCGTGGCTTCCGTTCCGTTGCCGCCCATCGAGTCGGTTATCAGCAGCTGAAGCAGCTGCTGTGATTAAGAGAGGCAAATTGTAGCAAGTTATTTTGTGATTATATCCATTGTATCATCGTTTTAATTATTATTACTTATATGTATATTTATTTCGCTTTGCATTTTAGGTAAATGTGACGCTGAAGAAGCCCGGCAGCAAACTGGAGCATCAGGGCATTAAGATCGAGTTTATTGGACAAATTGAACTGTTCTATGATCGGGGTAATCATCATGAGTTCAAGTGCCTTGCGAAGGCGTTAGCCCGCCCCGGCGATCTGATTCAGAACAACAGCTATCCCTTCGATTTTCCCAATGTGGAGAAACAGTTCGAGGTTTATGCCGGCTCCAATGTGCGCCTGCGCTATTTTCTGCGGGCGACAATTGTGCGAAGGATTAGCGATATCACGCGGGAGGTGGACATTGCGGTGCACACGCTCTGCAGCTATCCAGAAATGAATAATCCCATCAAAATGGAAGTTGGCATCGAGGACTGTCTGCACATTGAATTCGAGTACAACAAGAGCAAATACCATCTGAAGGATACAATCATTGGGAAAATCTACTTTCTGCTCGTCCGGATCAAGATCAAGCACATGGAGATCGCGATCATCAAGAGAGAGACGACCGGCACGGGCCCCAACATCTTCAACGAGAACGAAACGATTGCCAAGTACGAGATCATGGATGGGGCGCCGGTGAAAGGCGAAAGCATACCCATACGAGTATTCCTGGCTGGCTATAATCTAACGCCGACCATGCGGGACATCAACAAGAAGTTCTCGGTCAAGTATTTCCTCAATCTGGTGCTGATGGACACCGAGGACCGGCGGTACTTCAAGCAGCAGGAGATTACGCTGTGGCGCAAGGCCGACATACCGCGCTACCACGTGACCCAGCAGCAGCATCAGCAGCAGTCCCACCATCAGCATCAGCACGTGCCCCTTCATGCGCCGCCGCATCTGGTCAGTGGGCCCGCTGCACCCACCGTCGCCCACTCGCTGATCAGCAGCAGCACGGACAGCGAGGGCGCGGCCATTGGCAGCACGGGCGCCCAGGCTGAGTCCAAAATGGGACTGTTTACGCGGGAGAGCCCCAACCAGGAGTTCAGCCAGCAACAGCTCGACTCTCCGCTGCCCAACTCGCCGATGACGCCGAGCAACGAGAGTCATGGGATTGGTGCAGCCGCTGCTGGCGAACGGGAACGAGGGATGGGCGATGGCGCTGCGGCAGCCACAACAAGTGCCTCGCCAGTGGCCATGCTGTCCAGCACGCCGCCGCCGCTGCATAACGCTGGCCCAGCAAGTGGCAGCTTAACTGACGTTGGCGCAGGATCTGGAGCGATGGAGCCTGTACAGCATGCAGCGGGCGATGGCAATGTGGACTTGGATCTGAACGAGGAACAGCCGCTGCAGAATGAGCAAGACGTACAAGAAGAGCAGCAGCAGCAGCAGCCCCAGCCGCAGCAGCGGTTACAACTGGTGCCAGATGATGAACTGACGGACGTGGCGTTGCCCACGCCTCCAGCTGCGGCTGCGGCTGCGGCCACGGCAACGGGCAAGAAGGTCAACGCATCTCCTCTGAGTGCGGATTGAATGCCAAACGGAATGCGTTTACACGATTTCCGCAACAAGAACAACAACAACTCAATGGCTAGCGTTAGCTAAAATATATATATTTATATATATATTTACATCTATTTTTTTAATATCTAATTTAAAGTTGTTAAAGGCAAAAATATTTTATTGAAGTTATGCGCGCAACTTAATATCCACTTTATCCACTAGCAAACACACAAATACACAGACACACCCACATACACACACATATATATACACACAGATGTACTTGATGCCCTATAAAAAAATTTCAATGTACACAGACGCTATTAATACACTTTCCTCTCGCACGCTCTTTAGGCTCGATCGATGTGCATTAGGCAGTCAGAGAAATCTTTGTATATTTGCAATACGAAATATTTATATAATGAAAAAGCAAGAAAAAAAAAAAAAAACACAAAAACTAAACAAATAACGAAACGAAACAAATAAGAGAAATGTGAACATATATTTATAATTTTGTTGTGAAACTCAGCTGAGCCACGCCCACTACCACGCCCCATTCGAAGGCCCAATCAACACCAATTGTAACATCTCATTCCCTTTTGGAAAATTTGATTTTTCAATTAGCAAAAACCTGTTGAAAACAAAAACAAAATGCTTTTTAAAAGTAAATTGAAATTAAATGAAAACAATGCGTAGGCATAACCTAAGTTTAATATACAGTTTAGAGAATATATATATATATATACATATGTATATATTATAATATACCTATGTATATACAAGTAAATATGTGTATATATATATGCAGACAGAAAGCATGTTAAATGCAGGTATATTCTAATATTGTATAATATATATAAACATACATTTGCATGTATTTATGTTTATATATATGTACATAACATAATTCATCATATATATATACACACGTACATTTATTTATGTATACATATGTATTATAATATATAAATATTAAAATTTATCAAATTAATAAAAATGAAAACGAAAAAAAAAACAACTTGATTCTCAACCGTTCCAAAGCATGAAAACGAGCGAAAAGCTTTAAAAAGTGGGCAGTTTAAAAAGAATGAGAGGGAGTGAGAGAGACGCAGACTGGGTGAAGCGATCAATCTATACAAACTCCATCAGCCTTCATATGGAGAGATATTTCAGTTAGAATCAACTCCTCATACCAAAGAAAGAGCTTTTAGTCGAACAAACATCAGTCGAATCATATAGTCTATATAATATTATAGACTATTCACATAATCAGTTTATGACAATGATATATCTATATATGTATATATATATATATAAAGAGATATAGCTGAGCTGAATAAATTTCTGCTGATTAATTCCAGCCGTGGTTCACTCTAAGCTGCTGCAATTAACTATATATCTAGTTCTCTATATGCTTCACACTTCATCCAGCCGCAAGATCCATAAGGTATCTAAGAATATATATGCTTCAGTCAAGATATCCAGCAATCCATATTTTTCACGCTTCAATTACATTTACATAAGTTTCTACAGCGTAACGTTTATTCTATAACTTTTAATGGTTTTAGTGTGTGTGTTTGATTAATGCAACAACAGGTTAGTCTAATCCCAGGCCTCCTTCACTCGCAAATGCTGTAGACGCTCCTCAATGGTCACATGCGGCTTTAGTTTGCTGCGTGTTTGCTCGTCTGTCCACTTGGCCACCAGCTTTTCACGCTTTTGCAGCTCCTTGGCGTGGCCCGACGATTGCTCCTAAAATGTGCACAGTGTTTGACATTAGCAGTTAGCAAATATTAGATATAATATGTAGTACATACCAGGGTGAGGTAGGGATGCCGCAGAAGGAACATGATCTGCTCCTGTCTTTCGTATTCGCGGGTCAGCGTTTCCATTGAACGTTTGCTCACCGGCTTGACGAGACGTCGCTTGCCACGGAATATGTGGCCGGGCACAGTTTTCTTAAAGAAATTGACTAAAGTCAGCTGCATATTGTGTGTTTGTTAATTTATGAACAATAAAAAATGACTTCTTTTCAATGCACGTTCAATGTTGTTGCACAAGTCGCCGTGACAGCTGAGAGCTGTTATCGTTGAAGAATCAAAATATATCGATATATACTCATGACACATATCATTGCTCGATAAATTTGTAACCAGAGCAAATGAACCGATAGTATCGCGCTGAAGCGCTCGATTTTAAAATTGCATGTCTCGTGGAAGCAATTAACAAACTAAAAACGTGATTTTTAATTTCAAAACAATTGTACAGACTGTAAATACAATAGAAATGTTCAGGTTATGCACTATGTTCGGAAATGGGATAGGGACTGGCGTGCATTGTCTTGTCCTGATGCAATGCACCCTCGACAAAATGCAATATCTCGAATCCCACTTCAACCATAATCAAAATAATGATCATCCATTCAAGCCGTATGTGATGTGCATCGTTTAGATTGTGGGAGACCAATTCGGCCAGCTCGACACAATGGTTGATCTTCTCGTTCATCACCTTGGTGCGCCGTG